TGAATTCTTTCTGGGGCTTAGTTTACCAGACATCTATTCTTCCAAGTTTTGAAGTCAAGAAACATCAATTGCGCTTTAAATCGACGTAATACTGGCAAAAGTCAATATGAATGCCTATTCCTCCTTTCTTAACAACCAAAAATAACGAGTATTGGAACGCTTAGAATCATCACTAAGACCACTTCTGTAAGAAGTTACTGAGAATTAAATGGGAACACTTCAGAAGATCCAAAACTAATCAATTTTCTGTTTATCAAAATGACAAAAGAAAAGAAGTAATCATCCATTTGATAGACTGTCCCACTTTTTCTTTTCTTTTTCTCAATTATTTCGTTTGCACCATTTTCACCGAGCTTCCCGCAGCTCCTATTCCCAACCCGGGCTACAGAGGTGTAGAATCCAGGGGTGTACACAATCAGTCCCCCAACGGCGGAGACTTGGGATAGAAGACATGGAGCTGATCCATTTACAACACCCACTATGTAAAGTTATGTGGATCGTGAGGCGAGAGGCAATTGCTGTAGTCTGTTGTTGCTTATCAATGAGTGGTTTGAGAAGCCTTGTTGTGGGCGTTAAATTCTGGTTGACAGGAAAGCCAATTGAACAGCCCAGAGGTTGTCAAATTCAAGTGGAGTGCCTCGAACTTCAGTCCCCCGAGTTCCGTTGCTGTTTCCTCCGTATGTTATACCTTCCTCTTGATTGGGTTATGTATCTGCATTTTGCTCAAGATGTACAAGTCCAATTCACCGTAGACGAGTCAGATTAGGTGGTCTTGCGCATTTCTGCAAGAGTGGGAAAACAGAGGTTCATCAGCTGTTTCATTTGATTTTCGTGGTGGGTGGACTGTTGTTTTATACAGTTCTTTTGTTTCTGGATTATTGTCAAACTCTACGGCTAGCAGATTTCTCTTAAGGTATCGGTGAAGTACAGCAAGATGAACTTGTGTGGCAAGCATTTTACACATTCCAGCAGGCTTTGCTGGTTCGACAACGTTCGAGTGCTGTTAGACTGAACACCACATAAAACTGGATCCAAGACTTCTCCCACAAACTATTTAAACTCGTCCAGATCTTCTCTCCCAGAATTATGGTTTTGTGACCAGTGAAATAGTAAACAGTTTCTAGCCAATTTCAGCAATTTATATTGTTGAGCGGATTAGAGTTGAAGTGCAATGGCTGATTTGAATAGGAGTGAGTGGATGGCATGGTTGACCAGTTTAGGGGCCGGGGTGGTGAAATTTGCAGGGCCCTGCTACCTATTCGACTTCTGATAAAACCATGTTGATTGTTCACTGCGATTCAAGTGTTGCAATACTGAGCAGATTCATTTCAATGTTTTTCGTGTACTGCATTGCATCTTGGGAAATATACTCGAGTCTTAGCATGGAACATAACAGAGTATAGCTGTAGAAAAATAATATATCTATAGACGGACATATAAATATGTATAAATAAATATTCCCCAATTTTCGATGCATAAAATACCATTTCTATCGTGCCAAGAGAACAAGTGTATAAAGAAAATGAAAATTAATGCTTGAGTAATCAACCACGTGATCGATGTCCAAGTTCATTACCTACTCGAATCTGCGGATTCTGTTTTATCAGGCTCAAAGTAATGCTTCTTCTGGTCACTCAATCAGAGGCTAGTGCATCTTCCTCACAATTGCATGCTACTCATAACACCTCAGATCGTTGGATCCAAATCGGCGAGGGTTCTCTGTACCCCAGGTCCCTTGCCACCTTTAAATGCTCACTGCCAACTGGGGTTTACCAGTCCTTATGAAAGGAGCAATTCAACGCTGCGGGAATGTTGTTCAGTAAGCCAAAGAGGCAACGTGGCGCTTGTGGTCACATATATTGAATCCTGATGGTTGCTTCTCTGGTCTTCGATTTTGCGCCTGCATCACTTATTAATAGACCTGGACGAGGCTTTTAATCTTAGAGCCTGGAAACCCACCCGCAGCTCTTCTCTTCCAACTTTGGAAACTAAACCATCTCACAACATCCTCATGCATATGCTTCCGGAATCATGCCATTGATCTCAGCACTTTCGCTCAGGAAAAAGAAAGAAAAAAACAACTAACAGACAAAAAATGAAAATTATAGTAATAAATACTCACGTGTCTATTTTTGCTGCGCAACAGCGTAAACACCGATACATCAATTGTAAAGCCTGCATTAAACCTCAGAATCTGAATCCTTCAGCAGTAAATGGATTTTTCTGCTTTGTTACGTAAACGCTAATCGCAGAACTCTGGCCCTGCTTGAATTAACTGGGCTGAGACGTCTACACCCTCAAGTTTAGCCTCTTTCAAAAAACTGGGCCTTCTTATCATTCTTCAAATGATTACACCAGGACTATAACTGTTGCATTTCAACTTCTCCAACCCCTTTTTTCTTGTCAGCAATTATTCAATTGTGAACACGATTCTTTGAAGAGCCTGGCGAGTTTGGGCACCCAAGTATATTCTCCAGCTTTGGAAGCTTCAAGACTATGAATGCTCCTCATGGGGAGAGTGCGATCGATCAATCTTACACATTCAGACACACACACCCACACACACACACATTGAAAATCATTGTCTTTAGTTTCTACCTTTTGTGATATTTAAATGAACCTCAATGTCAACTCCATGCCTGACAGCCCCTTTCGCATCCCCGTTGCAAAAACCTTGAACTGTGGGAACTAATAGTATTAACAGCAGAACTAGCAATAGCAGCAGCACCAGCATTAGGTACGCAGGCAGGCAGGCAGGCAGGCAGGCAGCGGGGGTGTGCTTTTAAAGAAGGGAGGGGATGTTAAGGCACTGAAATTGCTTCAGATTTATAGAGCTCCATGTCAACCTAATGGTGCAATGGATGGCTGGATGAATGGATTGGTACAGTCTTGGAACTCATGGTTTGGATCCTACACAGTGCCTGTCTTAACTCTTGCTATTATCTTTCTAATATTTGTTTGCTGCTTTCTAATCTTCTGGTGTTTTTGATTGGGTTGAAAAGGAGGTGTAAATGAGCACTATGTGAAGTCAAATGGGGCTCATTAACAGAGTGTATGGGGTGGGCAAGACTAGTTTGTGGTAATCATGGGTGCAACAGCTCTTAATTGGGTAATTGGGTAACCCCAGTTCATAATCACCTTGCTCATTGATAGGCCAGGTTCCACTTAGTGTTCCTACTTAGAATAATCACCCTTGGCTTGGAAGTGGTCACTTATGGTGGCTTAATATGCCCCTTGGAACACCCTGCTGTTCCCTTTTCCTTTTCTCTCATAAGACATAAATGTGCTTCTGCGTAGTGATTTGATTTTGGTTCATACGAAGTGTCATTGAAAGATTTTTAGATCTAATAATAAAATAAGGTCTTCGGTAATATAAATTAAAATATAAATTTCATAAAAATTTAAGATATTTATGTTGTTTGGTCTACAGAAAGAAACACTAAAATCAATCAAATGGCATACTGATATAAAATTTAATTAAAAAAAAATGAAGTGAAGTCATGTATACATACACACATATAAATACATTTCAAATAAATAAAAAAATTAAGAAAATTTATTTCAAATAGAAGATTCATCACTTGAAAATTTAATTGCACAATTTCACAAGTGATGAAATACTATTTTTTTTTATAATTGATATATTCAAAGAGAAGATTTAAGATACTTAGTGGATGTAGATGTAAAACTTAATATCAAATAAAGTTATGAATAGACAATTTGAAATTGATAATATATATGTACATAAAATCTATATTTTAAATAAAATGAACCAGTACACTTTAAAAAGTCTTTCTAAGAATAAGTTTAGCTAACTCTTCACATGTCACAACATACATTACAATTAAGTAAAACATAAAGTATTAGACTTGTTATATGATCACACATACTACTTTTACACATGGGTAAGTCAGACAATCATCAAAACATCAAAAAAGCTATTAAAAACGTCTCATAATCTTTTGTCCTAATTAGCCCTAATTAGAATAGAACTAGACGCAGTAAGGTTGCCATGCTCAGCCTTATCTTCACCAAGGAAGAGGAAACCAAGGAAACCACAAGCAAGGGAATCTTATGACTAGGGATCACAGACCCAAGGGAGCCTTGGTCTTGCTCCATGGCTCCTGCCACACGGATCAGTCACGAAACATGCTCTGATCTGAAAGAATAATCTGTGCAGGTTGGAAGCAAAATGGGCGCCTCCAGAGTCGGCCACAGGCTATATGCAGCATTTAGGTTGATTTAATGCTCTAGTCACCGAAATAAGCTATGATCAAGAGAAAGTCTGGAGAAACGGACAACGTTTGCGGTCGTTTTGGGAGCAAGTAATATGGAAGGATTCATCTGACTCCTTTCGGGGTTCCTCCAAACGGGGGGTGCCGGATTTGCAAACTGTTGGCCGTGGTGGGGCGGTGCAAGCCTTCTCCACAACTCACCTTTGCTTTCATTATCCAAAGGATTGGGCAACTCCATTATTCCTGATATGGATCCTCGGTTTGTGAACTTTGACTGAGTAGCAACCAACATGAGGCCTCGGGGGCCTTCATTCCTTCCCCATAATTGACCCTCGGATTAGCCACCTCTTTTTGATCACATCGTATGTATCAAAGCCGGGCTGATTTGGGTGCCGATGTGGGGGTGGGATACCTGAAAATCAGTGACTCAGAGGGGGAAAAGAAGGGTAATTTATCTTGTGACCAAAGTATCATTATATATGAAGGTTCGATAACGCGGGGGGGGGGGGGATCAGAGAAGGCAGGGCGAAGCATGACAAAGCGCGTGCAAAGCAACGCTTGCACATGCGCGTGGGGACCTCCAGTAGGGAGTGGTTGATTTTGATTCCAACCGCCGCGGAACGGTGGTCGGGTGCGGCGACAGGCCGGGCAGAAAGACCGGGTGAGGTGGAGTTGCATGACCGAGATCGGGGGCTGGCGGGCCCCATTGGAGAGTGAGTCATTACCTGTTAGCAGCGAGGGAAGGGACGAGCAGCTAAGAAACCTGGAGCTTCTGAAGATGCAGTGCCAGGAGTGGTAGTGTCGGCCCCTCATTATCACTATTACAATCCCTGTAGAAGCTGGAAGTTGGCCTTGGGGAGTTGGGGGTGGGATCTTGGCCAGCAGAGCCGCTGCCCACACCTTAGATATACCATTCAGCTTTCAGAGGTCGACGCTTGTTCACCAGGAGCTTGTTCCTATATTGACCTCCTCCCCCACGTGTCGGTGCGCTTTTCGTGTCGCGGAACTCGGAAGCTCGGGCGTCGGAGCTCTTTGCTTTCACAGGGTTTTGGAGGTAGGGGAATTGGCTAGTTGCGGTGCTGGGTTTTGAGGGGGGGAGGGTTTCGAGAAGAGGACGGGAGTGGGTGTGTGAAAACTCATTGAGTTTCAGCAAGGATGTGACTGCTTTAGGTGCCTTGCGGATTTTGATTAGGTGGTCTTGACGGTTCAAGATGATTACGAGTACCTTCTGGCACGAGCTTGTAGAGTTGTGTGTGGTGGTCGGGATAGGCATCTCCATGTAAGGCTGGGTGGAGAACAGGATGGAGGCAGGGTCAGTGAGCATCCAAGCAAGTTTGGTCTGTCGTTAAAGTGTTTATTGGAGTGCCTGATTCACCTTTCACAGTGTGATGCAGATCCGGGTCATGTAACTCGTGCCACGGCTGGCATTATCATGCTGTTTGACAAACGTGTCTTCGACGCGTGGAGTCGCCACGGCACTGTAAGCAAAGCTTGCGTTAATTAGGTAAGGCTAGAGAGAGGGTTAAGTGTTTTTAGCTTTCATCTGGCCAAGTCTGGTATCGTCGTATTATCCAACCCACGTTTGCGCCGCAAGACTAATTTCCGCAATCGGGAAGCAGGTCGCTTCGCCAAGGCACTCCCAGTACCTTCATAGCATGCAAGAGAGGGGTGCAGCATCGGCGCAAGTGAGTCAAGTTTAAACTTTACAATGTGATGAGCTGAGCGTTGTCACCGCTAGGGTCGCAGACTCAAAGAAATGATCTAGTTTACCAGGCGTTGGCATCGCTATCCTGCTTTTCATGATTTATCTAGCGAATCTCGACCGCCTCTGCAGTTGATGATTCGAATAATAGCCCAAACCCTTCCAGAAGTGGAGGCGTTCGGTGGATCTGTGGCTTGCACGTGCAGGTTCAAGGATCCAGTTGTATTATTCCCGGCTGTGCGCCTCAGTGACGCCGTAATCCCGAAGCGGTACGCTATGGGAGTCCCGGTCATGCCAGGTGGAAACCCCGCTTGAGGCTGAACACTGGTCTCTCTTGTCTCTTGGTATAAGCTCTTCTAATCGATAATTGCACATGCACAGCTTGCAAGTAGGTGCACCAGGGGAATAAGTTTTTATTGTTCCATTGCGACCTGGTCTTAGGGTACAACTCTAAACGTGGACCTACTTGTTACAGGTTGGTGCTTCAGCGCATGCTTCCGCGGCTATCTGTAGGTAGCTTGACGCTGATTGCGCCGCGGATGACAATCTTAAATGCAACTTCTAATCATCGCGTTCATTCTCAGGCTATCGGAGTACGGCCTGCCCTTCAAACCCGGCTGAGTTTTCAGTGCTACAAAGTGAATTGGACACGAAGGATACTGTAGTGCCTAGACGCGAAGTGCGATGATATTTGCAGTGCCGACATTCCGAAACTTCTTATGGCGTGGATAGAAGTACCTGGGATATCGAACACCAAAGAAGCGGTTAAACCAGATGTCAGTGGCCCAAGTCCTAAGGAGCGCCAATGGCCACCAAGAATTTTTTCCGAGTGCAGACGCTGATTACGTGAGGGTGCTCGCTAGTCATTCGAGACTGGATGTACACTCGCTAGTACTGCATGGGGAGGGGGACAGCATAGCTAACCAAACTCTTAAGTTACTAAATGAGCGCCGATGTACCCCTTGCGGACATTGGAACGGGTTAGCCATCTTAACCTGCAGGTCCTGGGATGCAATTATCTGTGCCACCCTTGCGCATGCGCGTCCTTAGTCATAATTTCAGTAGTCTGCAGCTCTCTCTCCGATCCCCTGCCATTCTTCATGAAATGCTTGGCTCTGTTGGTTCAAACCCATCCGCTTCGAGAGAGCTAGCGCCTGAGGTCTCCAGCCCTCGTCAAACTTATGGTTACGTTGATCATTCTAGTTTCTCAGGTGGACTCATGCAACTGCGCGACCTTTTGCTCGAAACTGCACAACTTATTTCCCAATGTGACTGGGATCGCGCTCGACCCCTCCTTCAATTGCTGAGTCGACGCGTCTCGACAACTGGGGACTCCTCCGAGCGCGTCGCCTCTTGCTTCTTCGAAGCCCTTGCCACCCGCTTCTCTAGAGTGTCAGGCATCCAGGTTAGTTTGCTAACTTGATTTTGGTTGCGACAATGAAGCATTTTTTAGCTCGGTATCAACCTCATCCCGAGCTTATTTTAAAAAATAATTTGTACAAAATTTTAGGGTCGAGTTCACTCTTTTACTGGGTGAGACGGTATCGCTTCTAATTCATCACTGACGCAGAGAAGCCGCGGCCTAGGTAGATGTTGCTCAGATTAAGTGACTTAACCGACCTCCAAGTCAGGAACCAATGAGTTATCCAATCAGTAATTTAGTGTCACGTTTGTCTAGCGTAGTTTTTCTTTTCAGCAGGACTGCAGCTAAAATCAGTTGATGATACAGTACAGTGTGGACCGGCGACTAAACTAGTTAACACAATAATCATCATCTGGCAACCTGCTACAGTACTCCCCCTGCTAATCTACCAGTTTATCGTCTGAGTTTTAGGAACGACAAATAATGTACGCACCATGCATAGGCAAAGCCTCGATTGACATCGGTGCTTGTTTATGGTGACGTTTACCGACGATGCAATAATCGTGAGTGTACTTTGGTGTGGTCAAGAGCAGATCAACGAGCTGTTACCATCGCGGATACAAGGGCCCAGCAACCAGGAGATGATCTCTGCATACTTGGCTCTTAATCAAGTCACGCCTTTCATGCGTTTCGCACATTTAACCGCAAACCAAGCCCTACTAGAAGCTCTCACTGGGGAGAATTTTGTGCACATTGTGGACTTGGAGATAGGACACGGCATCCAGTGGCCGCTGTTCATGCAAGCTCTGGCCGATCTGCGAGGCGAAGAGGGGTACACCATACAGCACCTGCGTATCACTGGGGTAGGGCAGGACAGAGATGTGTTGAACCGGACGGGAATACGGCTTGCGGAATTCGCTCAGTCCATCAATCTTCCATTCGAATTTTCTCCACTAGTACAAATTTCGGAGCATCTAGTTCCGAGAATGCTCGGCTTAAGAGTCGGCGAAGCTGTTGCTATCAATTGCATGCTCCAGCTGCACAGGTTGCTTGCGAAGGGCCCTGAAAAGCTAATTTCTTTCTTGTGCATGTTGGAATCTTTAACTCCTAAAGTAGTCACTCTTGCTGAGCTTGAAGCAAGCCACAATCAACCTCATTTCCTGGACCGGTTCGCTGAGGCTCTCAACCACTACTCCACTCTATTCGACAGCTTGGATGCGACGTTGCCTCCCACCAGCGCTGATCGAATAAGGGTGGAACAGACGTGGTGTAAAATGGAGATTGTCAATATTGTGGCTTGCGACGGGGCAGAGCGCATAGTAAGACACCAGCGCTTTGAGCTGTGGCGTAGATATTTCCATAGAGCTGGGTTTCAGTTGCTGTCGACGAGCCGGTTTGCGACCTCTCAAGCCAGATTACTTCTACGACTTCATTACCCTTGCGACGATTATCAGCTTCTGGAGAACGTCGACGACGGGTGTTTATTGTTGGGCTGGCAAGATCATCCGCTATTTTGTGTCTCTTCTTGGAATACGAATAACATGTGAGCCACTCATATCGACATGAAGTTCGATGGACTGGCGGTTTTAACTCCAGTTTTGACCCCAATATAAGGAGGATATTTCTGGCTCAATTAAATTTTAAGGAGCTGTTACAGTAGGTGTTACATGTAGCGTAGTGTAGAAACGCCTGGTTCATTTACCTGGTGGGCTCAAGGTTGACAATTTGGATCGTCCGGCAGTTAGACTCAGGAATGCCTCCAGAAGACTGAATAGTTCTTGCAACAGGAGGTGCATAAATTTCATTCTTTTATTTGATGCTTCAGCTCCATCAATTTGCCTCTCATCTTTTATGAATTTGATGGTGGGATGTAAAAGCTGAAGTTGGAAGTTGTGTATCTACAGAATCTGATGTCAAGGATGTTATTCCAATAACAGAATGTGGTAGCTCGCTGCATTATTCTGCATCGATCTTGAATGCAAGAAGCCTATTCACGACTTTCAACACACAACTCTAACAGAAACATCAAAGGCTATTTTTGACATTCCTGATAGTTATATTTTTCAGGTGGTCGTTGCAATATATTGGGGATATAAATGTGGTAACCGATTGATCATCTGAAGCCACTCCTGCACTTTAGCATTCCTATTTATGTAGTGCCATTTGCTTGAAGAAGTCCATCCGTAACGCACTAGCTTCTGCGGGGCCCGTCATTAGTCAAAGAATACTATATTATCGTCTTGGAGACAATCAGACAGCAAGCCGACATTGCTCAAGTTCAACATTTCTCAGTAGGATTCTGTGGAAACAGGATATATGCACCTTCTCGCATTCGCGCCTAGTCGGCCTCGTCAGGTAGATCGCTCGATTGGTGTTGACAGTCAGCTGATCTACAGTTAAGGTCCAGTTTCATGAGATTCTACATCGAGGACCGACTAGTACCCTATTGTCTGCATCTTTAGATGTCACCAATCTGTTGAGCACCGGCCGGCCTGGTGCAGGTGCAGATGCCAGGTTGATAGGATCGACCGACCATATCATGTTATGTACTGAACGCCGGGGCTCTCTGCAGCTAGTCGTTGGTGCAAATTGCTCTTAAATTTTTCGATATTGACAACTGCATTAAGATGAAATTTAGTACCCGCTTGATTGCGACATCTTGCTATCAAACGCATTCAAGTAACATAAAAGTACTGGCAGATCAAGGCCTGCGAGCTGCCGATCGACTCAAACGAAGCATTAGAGTAACAACTCCACTCATACAACTGTTACGGCGAGATACCATGCGTCTGGGTCGACTGTTACACTTATAACCTTCTCAAAGTACCATATCGTTTTCAGGTCCATATCTACTAAGAATCCGTGCGAAAAGTTAAGATCAACTGGAACTAGAATTTGGTTTCTAGAACTGGGGATGGAGAACAGAGGACAGCCCTCTACCAATACGAGCTTGCATATGAGACCCAAGTGTGAGTAATGGTGAAGTGAACTCTTCACGCCTTCTTGGTATAAGAATAATTGAGTCGACTTTCATTCAAGACAATATTGCACATTCTTAATGATCACCGTGATTCATCGGGATCTTCTTTTTATTTTCAATTGATCATTGCGCTTCCACTCATGACTTCGATCCATCTCATTAGCGTCATTTCATCACTAGTATAGATTCCTTGTTGATCGCAGAAAGAAAAACATATATGCAGACACGTTCTTAGAGAGTAATTTTTCTTTGATCACGTTGGGGAACCTGAGAAGTCTGCCACATTGTGATTGGAATAAGCTGTGTGGTTTATCACCAGGTAGTGCGTCTAGCTTCCCACAGTCCCCGCCAACGTTGCGATTATATGTATTATGTAACTCTTTCATAACTAGCGTAACTCTGCACGTTACAAATGAGTTACTCAATCTCGCCCTGCAATTGTATTGAATTCATCCTCCTGTCCGAGACTAATTAACTGCCACGTTAAATCTATTCAACAGCTCCTCCATGGTTGCTACTTTTAGCGAGCGTGAACGGAAGTGCCTAGCTGCAGCGGACAACTACACTTCAATCTGTCCCGAACTGAAAGATATCAAAGCTACACATAGTACAGGTGATTTTATTTATGGTCTTAATTAAGAATTATTGGTACTTTCATTCTTCAATATAATTTCTCTCTACTTTGTTACTCAACAACTTTCTGGTAGAGCCGCCCGTAACAGTGACATGTATCACCTTCCATTTCACTTTCCTCAAGCATCGTACCATTCAATTTCCAATAACAATGCATTCAATGTCTCGATCAATGAAGGAGATTCGACCACCAGGTCCGCCAGTCTCTAAGTTCTCAGGACTACATTACACGAGGATCCAATAAATAGTTCGCAACTTTAACAATGCTTAACTACGACTGCCAAGTGGTTTACTCGTGAACTTAACTCGAATTTCATTGCCAGTGCCGCCTCATAGACTCGACTACGTCACATAGATGCAAATATCGTCATGGCCGACACTGATTTGCTTCGGGGATCTTCACTTTCTTTTAGTGTTGCGCTGATGAAAAAGACTAACTCAGGATAGCACGTCTGTTAACTAACAGAGCAAGTAGTGGGAGAGTTTGGAACAAGGATTCAACTACCAAAAGTGATATGAAGCCGCAGGTTCTGTTCCTTGCCGGTCCGTCCAAGCCTGCAACTGACCTGTATTTGATTCCATCGCCGCAGTGGTAACACCGTGACCTCCTTAAAGGCTGTCCAGTTCCGTGTAGTTTACTGCTCATGAAACAGACGGATAGTCAGGCGGGGCAGCGCAGAGCAGAGCTTGAAGGTGTAAAATCCAACCCTGATGCATTGAGTTCGTGTAATAAACGGGGTGCGTAAATATTGGTGATTAAATAAGACGATTAGATTTCCTCTTTTCTGCCAGGTTGTTTAACCTTCTAACTCAGTTCAAGAAAATTTTAACTCTAACCCGTTGTCACCCTCTTCCAAGTGTCAGACTAAAATTCAACCTTTAATGCCTTAAACCCCTCATCACTCTGCGAGCAGCCGCACCTTCTATTTGATCCGACTGGTTGTTTTCTACACACATTGTCAACTTGACTGAATTATTCAGCGAACTCAGTGAGCAAGTTCTCAGAGCTCGATGAATGTGCTGATTTACCAGTTTCCACCTCACGAACCAGCCCATATGTTTACCATCTAATCCGAATGTCGAGTACTCCAGAAAGACAGTAATCGCCTGCTTCTTCTATTGAGTACTTGACACTGCAGCAGGATTCCCTAAATACATCTTCTGATTATTCCTGAGGAGGTTGTCAAATCATTTCACAACCTTTTCAGTCCTGCATAGAGGCAATGAAGAGTGGCGTTGTATCTAGAGACCTTGCTTCTACTTGAAAGATTTAATCAAAAAATAAATTGGTAGTGAATTATGCCCCAAACTGGTCAACTCCCTAAGCTCTTGTTTTAGCCTGATCAGTGCACTCCGTGCCAAATCCGAAAAACAGCCCGCTGACTCCAAAAGGTGAGTTCGTATAGTAATTCAGCAGATTCAATCATTCAGAAGTTAAAGTATCTAATTAGTACAGATGCTCAATAGCAAGACATAGACGTAAACTGTATGACCAATCGGTCAGTAGGTCTACAAGTCGACGGGTAGTGCTGTATTTTACACGTCAAGTTATCATGTGTGTGCGTGTATGCTTTTATTTTAATTTTTTTTCCTTACAATTTACGACCAAATTTCTGGAAGAAGAGAAAATAAAAAAAAGAAAAAAGAAAAGCAAAAAAGAAAAAGAAAAAGTGTTACGACAAATGAGGAGGCGGAGGAGGCAAGCATATGTTTCAAGTAAGTGGAGTGGTAAGTATGATGAGGGGAGATGAAGAGGCCATCCCATCCAAAGTAGCCGGACAGCGGAGACGCGAGTACATGATAAGACTGGTATTTAAGAATGTTGCAGTGCCCAATCTAGTCATATTATCACCATCCCTGTGTTTACTTATGGCTGATTATGGGTGCCCTTTATGTTCCCCAGCCAGGACACACAACAAATACTACCTCGTCTAATTCAACGCCTCCCCATTATCATCGCTCTTTGCTTTCAAACTCTTTCCTCATTGCCAGCACCCTTTCCTTTAATGCCACCTCAATCCCACAACGTCTTTCGATCTATCAATCATAATGCTTTCTCATTATCAACTTCCGATGCTTTGAAGGCAGGCAGGCCACAACAGTGGGGCCCGACTGTCGTCGAAGATCAACTCCACTGTTGACAATTGCTGCCGATGCCTCTAGTTTTGCAGACAACGCCAGGCCACTCTCAGCCTCCCATTGCTCAAAATTCAACATCCCCTTACCAAACTATACAACACTCCACCTCCGAAAGGTATAACACATCATCGCAAAGCCAACGCAAAGCTTGACTTCAGAGAAGCTGTTGCACACACCCCCCCCATTATAAGATCCTCTTCAGTCAGTCCCTTACTTGCAATCAAATCATTTCGCATCAATGTAGACCCATAGCTCGAAAGATGTGGTAGATGATTTTGTGCTTGGAAATGGTTGTATTCTGATGGACAATGAGGTGCAAAACTCTTGAGAAAACAATATTGTTCATTGGGCATGTTTGTCTTGTGATCACGTGTTCTTGCATTTACTGATAACATCATCACATTAGGTGTGGAGACTTCTCAAAGTTTTTAGTTTTTTTTTTGTCATATCGTGGTTCATAACTGTGCAAAATTATTTTATTATTAAGAATTAAGAAATTCGACTTCTATTTCATGATAAGACACTAATGATAAAAATATTTTTAATGTATAAAAATTGATTACTTTTTTTGTATCAATTATAAGTATACAATAAAAATGTAGAATTTTTTTAATCTTAGTACAGAGACGACACTTCTTTATTCTTTGCCAAGCTTGTTAATATACTTGCTATTTAGTTTTCAAGTCTATTTTTTGAAATTAAAGTTTCTAATACTTAATTCCTACCTAAGTAAAAATTATATTTTTTTATTAATTCTAAATAGTAGTTTTGATATATGTTTTGTTAGTACTCTACAAATTTAAATAATATGTTTATATATATGATAGTACCTAAAATTTTACTTAATATGTGTATTTATCTTTTGTATTTCTATATTTATTATTTTTATTGGTATAAAAAATATAATAGAAAAACTATTAAAGTACATATAAACAATAATAACAACTAAAAATGCTAATATAAAAATAAAAATAAAAGTATATATATATAATTTTAAAAATTATTTATTTTATCATTACTTAGTTAAAACAATTAAAGTATAATAATTAAAGCAATATAAAAAATATTAATACAATCCACCTAAATCTTAAATTAATTTGACACATAATTTTACACTTAGAAATTATTCAAAGATTCCCCCTTGCTAGTTCCAATTTCTTTGCATTAGAAACTTTTTCACCCTAAACAACCCATTGATTGATTCAAGCAAACAACT